GCCTTTAGGTAACTACAGCTCTTTCATCTGGCGATTTAGAAACTCGAAGCATTGTAAAACAATGCTAAGCAATGAAGTAAACACTAAAATCACATGACAGTTTGTACATTATGATGTTTTTGCATATACTACAGTAAAAACTAAAGAAATACTTGGAATACTTCATTTTCAAACAAGAGACTTTGTGATGCAGAAAAATGGAAAAAAAGAGTAAGTCAGATTGCATCACTGAGACAACTGTTTTTGAACAGTGTTGATGAAAAAGACACAAGAATATTATCTAATATTAGAGGTTAAGCTGGAAAAGAAACAGTTATGCCAAACGTGTTGCTATACCACTGACAATTATCACATTTGAAAAATATGTAGATATATGTTTGCCAATCTTCAAAGCAATCTCCTATCCTTATCAGAATGTTTATTTTCTAACGGAGTTTAGCTGTCTCCATCACATGCAATCAGTAAAGGAAACATTAGCAGACATTGTTTATTGCTCCACTCTTCTGTTTAAGAGAAGGATGATTTCCTTAAATCATTGGAGCTCAGTGGTAGCAATATAAACAACTGTGAATTAGTATTACAAAGTGTACTGCTTATGCACATCAAGCTGCAGAACCTTCTGCTAAGTTAGCAGCAAAATACAACCTAAAAAAATACGTGAAAGTCAAACTTGCACTGATTAAATTGTTTTGAAGTTTCAAGTACAAATAGAAACACAAAGCTACTGCAGTGCTGCTGGTGAGCTGAAGATAATACGGTCAGGCAAAAGAATCTCAGCAGGATTCCCGGATGGGCATCCTTTTCATCCAGCTGTGCTCTGCAGAGATACGGTCCTTAAAAAGAAACAAACCAGCATATCACTGGTTTCAAATTAAAATACTAATAATTATGTGTTGTTAGAATAAACTAAGGTAACATGCAAAACAAATGAAGGAGATTATTGAGGTGGGAAAAAGAAAGCTCCAGCTATTCGGAGAAACCCAATGAAATGAGAAGCCTCAGCTGCAAAGAATATTGCGGAGGACAGCAGTTCAGAGAGACAGCATCGAAGAAATTACTTGCTGAAACACCGTGCAAAGGACAAAGAGGCAAAGGCATTAAAGGACCAGCAGAGATACAAAGTGGAAAATCAATACAATGACAAATATGGTATGGAAACTTCTAATAACACAGAAATTTAACTAACAGTAAGCAGATGAAAGTGAGCTTAAGCTCCTTTCCTGACTTCAAAATTTATAGCTGTGGAAAACTAACAGTAGAATGGAAATGGATTTTAAAGAAAATCTTAATTCTAATGAATGATAGTCTTGGCTAGAAAAACAAAAAAACACAAAGGTTGAAATTATATTGATAAGAGCAGCCATCAAACATCTGAAAGATAAGAATCTTTTCCATAAACTTTATAGCCTCAGTGCTGAAGGACTTCAACATTTACTTCAGACCAAGAGGTGAAAATATGAGAGTGGGTGACCAACTGGACTGACAGACCTGGGTTCTGTCCAGGAGAAGTGCAAGCACCATCAAACCTGAAAAAATAGCCTTGGTACAGAATATCAGCAAGGAACTCTTGCAAAAAACTGTGATCTGACTCAAAGTGGTAAACCATGCTGACAAGAAAATTAGAGTGATAAGAGAAATGAGGCTGCCTTTAAAGAAACTTAAGTTTGGGCTTTTCTTCCTTTTTCTCAGTAATTAACCTAAAATGCTTTACCTTGCTTTGTTTATGTTAAGGTTATACATAATTACGGGAAGTATACCATTACTTCTAAATTTCAGGCTTCTCACCCCTGGTGAGAATGCTGGTTGGCCACCAGATTTGTCACAAATGATTTGCCCTTAGTGAAACAACACTGACTGTCGCGAATCACATTTCTTTTTTCTGAGGATAACTAATTTTTTATCATGGTCTGGAGTTGTTTTACTCTGTCTCCCATTCAAATGGGAAATTTCTGAATCTTCTATTCATGTTAAAATGCATGTAAGTTCTTTGCTTTGAAATGTTCAGGATTACTACATCCATAACAGCTGAAAAGGCTATGAAGAGACAGTTCTACTCAGTGAAGTTCTACTCAGTGAAATTCAGGTTCCCCCCCCCATAATGCAGGGAAGAAAGTATTTTGTGAGAGAAAAGTTAATGAGTTAAGATGATCAAAACTGTCATTTTCCAGCTCAGCCATAATGAGGGCATTAAGAGATGTGATTTGGTGGTGGAAGTTGATGAGTCATGTTGATGGTTGGACTTGATGATCTTGAAGGTCTTTTCCAGCCCAGATGGTTCCATGATCCTATGGATGTGAATTACCAATTGTGCTTGCTTCAAGGGACAGCCTTGCCATTCCTGTAGAGATGAAGCTGCAAAAGCCATATGTCTGTTACCTAATTCACTGCACAGGATCCTCCATTAATTTAGGTAATCTGCCTCTTTAGTGTCTCTGTACTCACTTTGTAGTCGAAATTCGTGCAGTTTGGTGTTACTGAACAATATAGCTGTTCATAATACCAAATCTAATAGGAATAATGAGTTCCAGCAACTCTTTCTACTCCTAAATGCTCTTCCTTAGAGATGTCCTTTATTTTGGAAACACCTTTGTGAAATTATTACAGCCCAGAAAGTCCACCATATCTTGGTCTACAGCAAAATAAGTAGGTAGGGGAGGTGGGGAGGTCTCCTGCTCTATGGTCCCCAGTACAAGATGAGCAGTTTGGGGTGGGTCCTGAGGTGGGCCATGAAGATAATCAGGGGGCTGGAGCACCTTTCCTAGGAGGAAAGGGTGAGAGAGTTGAGATGGCTCTAAGCAGATGTCATTGTGACCTTCCAGCATTGTGGCCTACAAGAAAGGGACTTTATATAAGAGCACACAGTGACAAGAGGTAATGGCTTGAAACTAAAGGAGAATAGATTCAGATTAGATACAAGGAAGAAATTCTTCACAATGATAGTGGTGAGGCATTAGCACAGACAGCCCAGAGAAATTGTGGACGCCCCAGAGGCATTCAAATTTTGGTTGGATTGGGTCTGGGACAGTATGATCCTGACAGGTGGCAGCCCTGCCCACAGCAAGAGGGCAGGAAGTAAGTGGTCCTTAAGACCCTTTCCAACTCAAACCATTCTATGATTATATAAAGTCTAGGGTTCATCCAAAAGTTCTGTAAGCTGCCCATAAGCAGCAAGAAGCATTTATGCATATGATGTAATCACCTCTTGGCAACCATTATCACAGCAGGTTCTCTGATATGTCTATCAGCTCACACGCTTTTAAGGAGAGGAATGGTTGATAACAATGGCATTTAGGTAAGATTCTCCCAAATTACTACAAGATGCAACAGAGATGTTCAAGTTATTCAAATACTACATATTTCAACAATAATTTTTGAAGGAATTCAGTAGCTTATACTCAATTCTATTGGCTTTCTAGAGAAAATTTTAAAAGATAAAACAAATAAGGCATGTAGAGAAAATTTAAAAGGGATATAAAGCTAACATTGTGAAACAGCACATTGGTATGACAGCCACTTTAGTGAAATCCAGAAACCTATGTCTTACGTTAAGCTTGTTTTAGGATACTATGGAATTGCTATTGGGATCACCCCTTGTAATATTTAATGGCTGAGGGATAAGGGTGTAGAGATAAGTTTGCTTCCACATGTTTTTTCTTACAAATGTTTTTTGACTAAATTCTGTGAAAGAAGCATGACGATAAAATTGTAGTCAGAGTGCTAAAGGTTATAATACAGTGCTCTGGATTTTAAAGAAAAAAATTAGAGAGCTACCAGCTAACAGAACAACAATGAGCAGACAAATTTAAATGACAGGCATGTCTTTCTTACAGAATTTTTTACCTCGTCTTGAAGTATCTGAGTCTGTCTGTACTCACATACTGAATTCAGAAAAATCAGCTTGCAGTATGAGGAAGTTAATGACCAGTTTAAACAGTGAGAAAACAAGTGATTTTAATGCCTGTTTCTTTTTTTTTGTTTTGTTTTGTTTGTTTTTCCTTTTCAAAACAAGAATTCTTTTGGAAAAAAAAAATATATAAATGTTTCTTAACATTCTTATTGAGCGGATAAGAAAATATGCCTGCTAAAGGACTTGCGGAGAACTGACAAGTGGTCACAGGAGTCCAAGTTCAATTTGCAGGTTCAGGTAGGTTCAAACATAGCAAGACTTAGAACAGAACAGAATGTAAGAATTAACTTTGCAACTCTTTTCCATCTGTATTTAAAAATCCATTGTCGCCCACGGAGAAATAATGCACCACAGGATATTTCTGCACTGCCTCTGCACAATCTTGGTTTCTTGGTATCACTGACAGGGCTAACGCTGGCTGTGATAAAACTGTCTCTCTCTTACTTGTAAAAAACATTTTCATCTGCTTTATCCTTGTAAAACAAAACCTTCCTCTACTCCAGAAGCTCCTCTAAAAAACTTTCTGTAAATCCCAAGATCTACAGTTATTTAAATGTTAAATAGATGAGGCAACTGCTTCTCCCTTGCTGTGTATGTGTAAACTTGGAGAAAAGACAGTAAGCATATTGCTAAATTGCTTAGCAACTGTAGGTAAAAAAGCTAATATGTCATAATTTATATGTGGAAAGATTGTAGGGGGTTAGCACCACATGTCTTGCAATATTGAGGCTTCCTGCTGAGAACTCCACCACAAACTGGCAGCTGGCTCAAAGCACTGCTATTTTCAACAGTTCAAAAAATGTAAATGTGTCAGCAACTGGTCAAATAGCCTTCATACTGTGATTTATTGCAGTCTTTCACATTAGCCTACTACTGACTTGTATAAATCACTCTCAGGCTGAAAACATCCCTTGTGCGTGGCTTTATAATGAATTTATGTGCTGAATCAATCTTGCTACTGTCAGACTGATCTTGACGCATCTTTGAGCAGTCTCAATTAGACAAAGATAATTTCAGTGTGCCAGGTTTCTTCCAGTGAATGCTGGAATGACAAAGAAGACGAATGCCTGTGAAATTTTATGTGGAAGTTTACCTGCAGCCACTGGGATTGGTCATTGTGGCCCGAGGTCCAGGCATTAACTTTGCCTTGCTTGTCCAGTCGGGCTTTTCTGGGCTCCCAAGCAAACATATCCATGTTGAGCGTTCGGAAAACACTGGAGGCAGTAATTTGATAGTCCTGTATATGCCCTGATTTCATCCCCAGGGGTTCAGAGCAACCTGGAAGAACAAAATAAGATCTGTGACACACGCTACTTATCTCTGTAAGTGGTTTAGGTTTTCCCTTATGGAAAAGAAAACTAGCAATTCTCAAAGAAAGGACTTTAATCATAAGTATTGTTGGGAAGAAACTACAAACAAACAAATGAAAAATAGCCAATTCAAGGCACTTTGTTTCAATACTTGGAAGAATTGAAAACAAAATACAGAATTCAAAGTATTTTAGACCCACACACATGTATGAACAGAAACCCACAGAAAAGATGACTCGTCTCTTATCTTGGTTTTCTTTTTCTGTCCAGGAATTTGCTATTATTTCCTCTATTCACTTCATTCTTACCATGTTTTTATTCCTTGTGATTCCTTGTAATTCCTTGTGACATCAAGCACGTGGTTGTGTGCTGAGAAAACATTATGTTTATTTTTTTAATAACATTACTGAAGTTTAAATGTTAACAAGCACTGAGTTCTACACTTTCAAATTACTTGATACTCAACCAAAAATAAAAAATCCCCCACACATACTGGCAGAGTAGAAGACTAGAATAATGTCTGTGAAGGAGGGAGAATATTGTTGAGAGTTATGTAGGAGAAATAGAGTTACAGGCTCATCTAGCTTAAGCCAGGTGGTTGTCCCACTTTGCTGACTTATTTTGACTGTTGCTAAAGATAGATCTTGAGTTTCTCCCTTATCCCTGCTGGGTGTTCGTGGCAATAAAATAGAACTCAACCTGGGCCAACAATAACAATATAAATAATAAAAATTTAACAAATGACTCTATATTCCTCTGTACTGCTAGGCTGAGAATATGTGAAATGCATTTAGATCCATAAGAAGGAAGAGGGAAACTGAGAACAGGTAAGACAACCCGGAATGGCACCGCTATAATAGCAGTACTGGAAGTCAGAAAAGTAGGTGAGATGCCTGATTTAAGACATAAAAGGAAAAGAAAGGCAAGTCAGGTAGCTGAGAACAAGAAAAGCCTCCATAAAGCTCCAGAAAAGTGGATGTATGGCTGGGGGGAGCTGGGAACATAAAAAGAGACAGGTTTCTCATTTATTACCTGTTCCAGCTATCGAAAATCTGCAGAAGTTTTAATTCCACAATTTCAGTGATTCTCCTCAGTTCAATAGCTACTTATCTCAGTTAAATTTTAAATAACATTTTAATTTCCTCATCTAAAAAGCTGATGGGTCAGAACGTGTCCCATACTTAGTGAGCCTCACTGGGGCTGGTGCAAGGAGTGCATCCCCCTGTGATGATTATGAAGGACAGGATCTTGAATTTATGTATCACTGTGAAGGCATAGATTTATCACTTGGTGCTTGGACCCCAAGCCACTGAGCTGGTTCCTTACAGGTAATCATTTCCTGAGTCACCACCAGCTCTGCTGCTTACAGCACCCTGGGAAGCTGTGAAGGCCTCCTTGCTGTGACATGACCCAGCTCAGCTGGTGTCTTCTGATAGAACCAGAATGGTATGGTCACTTATCACGCCCTCAAAATTGTCTTTTTTTTTTTTTTTTTTTTTTGCTTTATTTGAGCTAGATATCAATGCTGGCTTTCTTTTTCTTAAAAGTTCATTTCTTCCACAATATGCTCACCTTCATTTGTAAGATGTGACTCTTATTTGGTTTCTCTGATACTCTTAGCAAAGGCCTTTTGGTCAGGTTCTACTTTCAGTTTCTCCAATCGTTTTAACCACAGAATCATCTGGATTCATAGGGGATTCAAATCAGGGCAGCTAAGTCCAAGCCCTCCAGTGGGGTCAAACAGCAGGAACAAATTATCAGAGACAGGTAATGATACCATGTTCTTTAACAATAAGTGTATTTTAACTTTGAAATACGGGCATGTTTCATATTGAATAGAAAGAAATAAACAGAAACCAGAGTTCATTTTTGAATAAACTTTTTAGAATTGATTCACACTGCAAAAACAGAAAATGCGTAGCCTTGCCTGCTGGGAGAACTGCCAAGTTAAAAACAACAAAATAATTTTCCTGGGAGTAGAAGAGAAGAAATGATAGTGTAAATAAGGGAGACTCATCTGTTGCTTTAGAAAAGAATTTGGCTTATTATTCAGCTCTGAAGTCTCACTACAAGATCACAAGGACTTTCAGCAGGAATGTTTCATCTGAGTAATATGAAGGGAGCTCCAGACACAAAAACAAGGGTTGTCAAAACTGTTTTTCAGTGTTGGTCCAATCAATCAAAAACAGTTTTAAGTGTTATTATTGATAAATGAAACAACAGATGTCTCTGCTTGTGTGCCTGTGCATGCACGCATGCCTTAATGGCATTTCACACTTGCCTTCCTTCTCTACTGCCCCAAAAGGATAACAAAGGGGGAGGAGGAAGACAGTTGTTATGAGTCAGTGGAAGAGCAAAGTGAAGCAAAAGATATAAGCACGATGCACATAGGTGGCACAACGATGTGATAGCCTTGTGCCAGAGAGACCACAGGCACCTTGCAGCTCCTGTGGCACCCTGCATGAAAGGAAATGACTGAGTATTTTGATAGTTCATGTGCTCTTTCACTCAGAGCACAAACAACAGAAACACTGAACTGATATAAAACTTTTGTGTCCATAGGTAACTTTCCTTCATAGGAGTTTATTTGTAATAATGCTGACAACTCCTTGGGACACCTCCACTATGCTGCATGTTCTTTAAATTTACTTCATACTGTCCTTGAGAAAGGATTAAACTCTCCTCCACTTTTACAACCTGTTAATGAGAGCTCATGTAGACACACTTGGAAAAACATAGTTTTCCTTTCTAGATTACACACTACTGAGGATGAACAAGGGGGGTGACATCTAGTATTAAACAAGGATGTTATAAAGAGCTTTTATATTAGAGTTTGTGTGACTGGTATGTATAAGTACTATTAATATGGAAAAATAGTTGCTGGAAAACAACCAGCCAGAAAGAGGAAAAATACATGCACACTTACATGTGCAAGTTTCCCAAGGACGGTTAAATTTTGGGGACCAACATTCCTCTGCAAAAACTGACAGCTCAGAAAACCAAGGATTTGCCAAATTTGTCCATGGCTACCAAAACACACTAGCATTAATCATATACGACATGAACCACGTGCAAGAAGGCAACTGTCTGCCAAATGCAGATGTGTGAACATATGAGCACATTGCATGAGTGAGTGACTGTTGTGGAAAGTCATCCACTGCTGAATAACTACACTTTGCTCCTACTGCTAGTAATTAATTAATTAAGGCATTACAATAAGCAGTAGATGTAATCTGTGTCTCCTCAGAAATGAATATCCTATGGTGGAAAGGGAATTTACAATACAGAGATCTGAAAGCATGTGGAAAGCAGGAACACAAGGCTATGAAGATTGATGTCTCATTTATTGATAATCCACTACACAACCACTGATCACAATTTTCAGCAAGCTGTGACCTTGGGTCCTTCTGAGAATATATACCTATAACAGATTATAAAGAACACTGTGGTTGGACTTGATGATCTTAGAGGTCTTTCCCAACCTTAATGACTCTAATGATCATCTTAAGTTTAGCTTAATAAAGATTAGTTTTTAGGATGATCTGGTGTTGCAACATAGTCTCAGTCACTTTGTCAATGATTCTTTTCCTAGGACCAGCACTTTTCAGGGAAGCATGTTCTTCTGCTTAAGACAGACCACCTGTAATTAGAGTGAACTAGTCTCTCTTTATGTACACTCTTCTTTCATTAAGATTGAAACTATTCAGCTGAGCCTTGGCTGCCCCTGGTTCTAAGAAATGATGACCTTGAAACTGTTAGGAGACCACTGAAATGAAATCACTTCAGTAGCTTTCACAGTTCTTTGAGCAAAACAATTCCTGGTCATTCTGGCAAGGGCTTGCTCTAAATTGCTGTTCCAGAAATGGAAGACATAAAAAAAAAAAATAAAAAAAATCTAATAGACTAAAGCAGCAAAACAGAATTTTCTATTTACTCTCAAACTTATCTATATTGGAAAAGGGCTACACTGAGATTAATGCATTAACTTTTCATTTCTGAATCTGGTTTTGATGCCACTAGAGAACTGAGAATTATTTAACTCCAGCTGTTTTGATATATCATTCGTGAATTGGATGACTATTGTTTGTACAGTAAGCAGGCAGTCACATAAAAATCATTCTAAAATGAATTCAGTGGAGCGCTCCCACTGGTAAAAGGTTGATCTCTTGAAAAAGATAAAAAATTTACATGCTTTACTGAATTTGTGAGGGAATACAGTTCTTGAAGAGAGTAGCTAGAGGTCAGGCTTTACATTTTTGAGTTATAACTTCTGCTACTACAAACCTTAAGGAGGTTTATATTGGCTCCACTTACTCTTTTACTTTCTGCTATAAGAAACAATCTCTGCTTCTGCTGGAAACCCACAACATAAATTTAAACTGAAATCTTGTCAAAGCAGCCCAGAAAAATAAGTCTGTCTCCACTCTGAGTGGTGTTTGGCTGCAGCTGAAGCACACTGATACCTCTGAGGCTGGCATGTACCTGACCCTCATGAGAAATGAATCAGGTCAGCTTTGGTTCCAGAAAGATTTACAAAGAGTTACTGAGCTACCCCACTACTATTACTGTCCTACTGCAATAGAATATTGTCACTTTTATTACTTATATCAGTATAGTTTTGACATGATTTACGTAGGAACAGATTAATTTTTGCCTGCCAACTGTATTCCATAAGGTTGTTTAGTCCATGGGAATGAAAATGCAGTGCTTGCTTAAAGTCCAGTAAGGCCTCATTGAGCCCTTAAGTACCTAAAGAGGCCAATAGGAAGGACAGGAAGGGACTCCTCAGGGAGTGTAGTGATAAGGCAAGGAAAAATGGGTCTAAACTGAAAAATCGTAGTCTTAGATTGAAAATAAGGAAGAAAATTTTTGTTCAGAGTGCAGTGAGGCCCTGGCACAGCTGCCCAGAGAGCTGTTGGTGCCCCATCCCTGGAGGCACTCAGGGCCAGGGTGGATGGGCTACTTGATCTGGGATGGGTAACCTGCCAACTGCAAACCATTGGAATGGAGTGGGCCTTAAAATCCCTTCCAGCTCAAGCTGTTCTATGATTATATGATTCTTGTTCCCTTCAAGGAACCCACCTGATAACTCACAGCCCAGGAGTTCCATTCTCAATGTGCAATGTCGTCGGCAAACCTGAGGATACAGGCGTATGTACTGTGATTTTATTGGAGGTGTGAAGGAGTTAGCATACGGGGTATTGTTGTCCACATTTCCACGGAACACCTGTAAAAAAACAAAACTGTTTCAAAAACATGCCAAGATTTATACTAAAGGTATAGCTCATTTCCATGCTTCAGAAATATCCACTCTTCTGATCTGCTTTCCACATTTCACACAGAATTTTTCACAGAGAATGCCCCATTTCCCCCACTGTTCAATAAGGAAATCTTTAAGCAAAACACATTTCCATTGGCTTGCACCAGTGTGTGTTTGCTACCTGCACTGAATCAGGGCCTCTATCTTGTCACTCCTGGGAACCTGATCTACTAATGCAATAAATTACATCTTCTTGTCTAATTACTGCATTAAATAGACCTTATTCATTTAACCTTCAATTATCTGCACTGATTGACATCTATTATTCGCCTCTACTCCAAGAGCCTGGTCCAGTTCCCACTGAAGTGTACTGTAACCCTCCCACTGATCTCCGTGGGCACTGAATTAAACCTGTAAGCATTCCTCTATTTAGGCCTGCTTTGTATGTACAGCTCTCTTTAAAAACTGTAGATGCGCACTTCTCACTGGATGACACTGTTTGTGTAGCAAGGAGATTAGCACTGATTAATGAGTTCAATGCTTTAAAGGGTTAACACTAATCTGCCAATGTAATAAGACTAAATTGAAAACATAGTAATGAATAATTACTGGTAAACTAATTAAAATGAAAATTAGATAAGTGTAATAAACAGGATTTTTCTAGCCTTGGGACACAGCATTTATATGACCATCAATTAAAGTATAAGAAATTCTTAGCAGACAGAAAGTATGAATTTATTGATTTTTTTTCTGGAATAAAATAAGAACATGGAAAGCTATATCAAGCTGTCAAGTAATTAGGCTTATCTACCAGAGATAGCTCAAATTACTGAGCTGGACCACAAGACATATTCATACAGAGATGACTTAATCTTACCATATCCTCATTTGTGCCTTTTACTTTGTACATCGTCCATGACTTCCCATCATTGCTATAAGCAATTTTGTAAGATTTCACATACTCTGGACTTCCAATCCTTTTGGCACCTTGGGTTATAACTCCAGTGACTCGCATCTTCTTCTGTAGGTTTATCTGAAACAGTAAAATGGCACAACATCACTGCTAGCCTACGGAGGAACACAATTCTGATCCTAGATTGTTTTGATTCCTTCTTTTTTTTTATATCAGAAAGAAAAAAACATACTTGTAACATCAAAAATGCTATCTTTACACCTGTACTAATTACTTCTTTCATTCATTTCATATGCACACATAAATTAATAAAAAAAAAAAAGGATGAAAAAGCTAACTTAGTGCGTTTCTTACCACTTGGGATGGCAGCCCGAGTGCAGGGATATGCAGAGGCAAGAGAGGGATCAAGTGTCTGCCAGCCAGACATTTAAATCCTTTACGATATGATCTCAAGATTTTCTCTCACTTGGAAAGATAATCTAGCAGCTATTAAGGATTATCAGACATCAGTGTTACAAATTTCTCCGCTATTTGACTGAAATAGTTGGGCTTCTAATATTTTTTGTCTTTAAAGCAAAAATAAACGTCACTGTTGCTTTATCACATTTCTCACAATACATAATGAATAACTACTCATACATCTGTAGGAGAGAGGAGAAGATGCCTATAAAAATTAGGTTTTTTTCACAGGATCTTTCTCATGGACACCAGGAAAAGTCAGGAACATTTGCAGCTATAATGGAGAGAATGAAAGAATTTAGACAGGCATTAATCAGAAGGTATTCGAGTCTGTCTGCCTTGGAAAACCTTCTGTGTTACTTGTTTCTCAGAGGAAAAAAAAACCCACCAACATACGGTTTGTAAGAGGACAATTCTTGAGATTACTCCATTTCAAAATTTAGTTAACACAGAGCAGCAAACAGTCAGACACAAAGATTTCTGGAATTCTGTTATAAAGATCTAACTCTCTGTATAGAATTTAAGATTATTTATAAATAGACAAGATAGAAAAATATGACATATATTTACAAAATTTATAATAAAAAGAAAATCATTTTCAAAAACGAATTAAAAAGTACAGTCAAACATAAAAATCATTGGTTATTTGCCTTCTATATGTGCCCTTCAGTGATATCTTCAGGTGTAACTGTTCAGGAAAAGGAAGATCTCAAGGAAGATAACACAATACCAAATAAGTTTTGTTAGTTTTCTTTGATCTTATGCATATACCTAATGTTTCAGATTCACTTTTTTTTTTTTTTTCCCCCCAAATATTAATATTAAGAAGTGTTTTTTTGGGTGAGGATTCATATAGAAAATATTTCTTGTGATTTGTTTCTAAGGAAACCATGAGTTTAGATCAGGATTATTGTTACACTGTCTCCTTTTTATGCCTCAGCCTCAATGTACAACAAATCAAACGCTGCACCTCAAGAAGCAAAATGATGAAAAATCCTCCACCAATGACAAGCAAAAATAATCCGTTGAAGAGCTAAATGCTTCAGCAGGAATTGAAACTTGGAGAAATAAGAGCACTACTGAATGAAGGAAGATTTGAGGAAAAATAATCGAAATTAAATGTAAATAATCAATTTTTTTAATGCTCCCTTAATATGCATAATGTTTTACCTCAATTCTTTAAGGAAGGAAAAACCCTGCATTTGTTCTACTGTAGAGCAGGCCCCTCTATACCCGTACATGGCACCTGAACATTTAAGTTACAATGTTACTTCTGTATTTTAACAGACAGAATCTTTGCTTTTAGAGGCTTTTTCAATCAAGTTCTGAACAGCACTGAGCTTGGAACAACTTAGGAAATGAAAACAGGACATGGTGTTTTGCAATCAGGTCTGCAGGTTTTGTCAGTGTTTGCAGAAAAATCCTGGTGAAGAGGGAGGAAAAATGCCTTCAAATCCTTGCAGCTTTCTTACATACAAAACTCTCATGAGGCTAACCTCGTGACGGCGGCAGCTCCTTTCAGTGTATATGGATGTAGCAGGAACTAATTGGCCCTTTGTGTCTGAGTTCCTTTATGGGTTTTAAACTTCTCAAGTCAGAGCTTAGTAAAACACAAACTATTATAACTGTTCAATGGCTATAATGAAGCTAGTGCTGAAAATCTTTTTTACTTAATGTACTTCAGCAGGAAGCACAGTTCCCAGTGTGCAATGTGAACCGGCTCTTTTAGCATTAAAAGCATTTTCAATGCATTTTTTTCTATGGCAATTGTGAAGAAAAACAACTCAAGATGCTCTACTTCGTGTACATAAGAGAAATACAGATTTAGGTTTGGAAGTAATATATTCTAATTATATAGCAACTTTGTTTTCAAACAAAGGAGTGAAAATCAACAGGGCAAGAACAAGAGTTCAACACATCATTTTATAAAAAAGCAGTAGCTTATTTGGGCATAAAGGACCCCTTATCTACCAGGCAAATCAAGGATGATAGAAGATCCTTAGTACTTTGCGGGCTTTGCCTCAGTAATTTAAGAATTAATGGATCGCAAAGGCTCTGAAAGTAGAAGATCCCTGCATAGAAATCTGAGGAAGGTGTTGCTTAAAAATCCTGATGCATTCTTCCAGCCTGGCTTCCTTCTGATGTTATACTGTGAAGAAGGCAGCCCCATTCATGGTGCTGCAGTCAGCTCCAGAGTACAGCAACTTACATGTCTCTCACTGTAAAGATTTTGGCTATGATGTTTACATATGAATCCCAGTAAAGAGTGCCCACTGCTGCACTTCCTCACAGCGTACACCATCTGACAGAACTTGAGTAAGGTGCCACTTGATACCCACAATTAATCTCCCTGAAATTGCCTTTGTATGTCAGTGCAAAAGTTTCCTTTGACTAGAGTAAATGATGAACACTAAATCAAGCAGGTAAAGGCCATAATCTCGTTTAAGTCCATTCAAATCTAATTATAGATGAAAGGGGTAATATCTGCATAATCACAGAATCACAGTAGGACAGAACCATGTGTTGGAAGGGACCCTAAAAGGCCATCTAGTCCCACTCCCCTGCAATGAGCAGGAACCCCTACAGCTACATCAGGTTGCTCAGAGCACAGACCAGCCTGGCCTTTAATGTCTCCAGCGGTGGGGCTTCCACCACTGTTTGGGAAACCTCTTCCATGTAGCACAAATTCACTATGCTGATTCGGAAAGACAGCTGACATAAACTCCTACAGTAACAGGACAAGAAAGAATAGTTTTAAACTGAGACAGAGGAGGTTTTGGTTAGATTTGAGCAGGAAGTTTTTCATTCAGAGCATGGTGACACACTGTTACAGGTTGCCCAAGGAGGTTGCAGATGCCCCATCCCTGGAGGCATTCAAGGCCAGGCTGGATGTGGCACTGGGCAGCCTGGTCTGGTGGGTGGTGACCCTGCACGTAGCAGGGGGGTTGAAACCAGATGAATCCTTTTCGACACTGGCAGTTCTATGATTCTATGATATAGCCAGAACCAAGCAAAAAAAAAATTGCTCTCAGGCAGTGCTTTCAAGTGTGGTGCATGCTTAAGAGCTGGGGAGTAATTACACTCTATCAGTTTAAAATACTCCCACCAACCCTGAAATTTCATTTAATTTTGTTCTTTTCAATCATCATAATCTTCCCAGAACCATGATTAGACCACTTTTCTCATCGCAGCAGTTTACAGAGCCACTGCCTTTTTCAACAGGAGAGGAAGAAGCATCTTGTCATGTTTTTTGCTCTTGGCACTGATTCTGCAGCAGACATTTTCACTGGTGTACTAATGTCTTTGATGGCAATGATTCATAGAAATCAGTTTTGGGATGCTGTATCATTCAGATGTCTAAACAGTTGAAGATGTAGGCAATCAAAATTTAAATGGAATTTAACTGAAAATAAATCCTTGTCAGAAAGGAAGAATAAACAAAAAAGACTATTTTTCTCAGGAGAAAATGTCAATATGAACAAGGCAAGTTTACAGTTCCAAAAGACTGCACAGAATAAAGATAGAGCATTATTTTCAAAGACATTTCAGAACCAACTCTGAAAATCTGTAATGCACTTCTGCAGATTCACTTCTAGGTGTGAGCAAATGGAGAAGCGTAAATCTGGACCATAAATCACATCATATTTATGAGGGAGCTATTCAACCAACTGTCCTAAAGTCCAAGAAGAACTTCCCAGCATGCTTAAAAAAATGTAGAACTGCAGAAAAAGAGGCAAAAGTCATTGTCATAATATGCCAATGTAACAAAACAGGAGAAATTAGGTATTCCACCAATGGAAATTCATATATCTCTGCAATTTGTGAACAAATAATAGAACAATAAGTATGCAGAAGCCATGAACTTGATCAAAAAACAAGAATAAAAAACATCTGCATCTATCTAATACACATTATTTTATAGAGAGAGGAGAAGGATAAAAAGATGGACTGACTTTAGGTGGATAGCATATGCAATGGTCTTGGCCACAAACATAGCCATGATCTTCTCATTTACTGCTGCACTATTAACACCACCACCACTAACATTTAGTACAGAACAGGTTGGCAAGAAGTACACCTTAATAGCAAGCTTCCAAGAAATGCTCAGTTTAAAGCCTTTAGAAAGTACTGGCTCTTTGAAACCTGAAGTGTAGTTTTTCATGAGATTTTGTTCAAAACAGAAATGCAGTTTACGGAGAACTATGATGTTTACCTAGTTCAGTTATGACATACAATAGCACTGCTATAAATAATTCTCCATATTCTCTGGCATAAAGTATATATTTTTTCACTAAAATTCACTATTACTCAGATAAAAATAGGACTGATTGAGGTTATACTGGTACACAAAGATTTATTATAGCAACTCTCCCTGATAATTTCATCAGCTTTTGAAGGATTGAAATTTAATATTTTTTAAGTCATAATTCTGTTAAAGCCAGATAGAAAGCTCCCACAGAAACATTTTCTGATGAGAAATAGGGAAATTTGGCAATGAAAATGCTTGTAATAAACTCAGGGAAGGAGTAACCTGTCATGATTCCTGCAAGACTGAGAAATATAATGAGCATGAAAGCTTCCTCCCATGATTCCCCTTCCATCTTTAAGCATCGATGCACGCTGAATACAATGAATGCTGCTGTTTCATTTGGACAGTGTGT